ACTTCACTCATCGTTGTTTTGGTCCTGGGCCGAGAGACACCTGATCACCAGGCCACATCCCCAACCCTTCTATTTTGAAATAAGGTCTTGCAAATTTACTTGCTGTCCTCCCGACTCCACTTCCCAGTTGCTGGTCATGCATGTTTCACATACACCTCTACATATAGCCTGTTAATAATTTCACACAGTATTTTTAATAATTTTGTACCTGAAACAGTTTATGTACATTGAACCATCACATTTACATATAAATCTTGGCAAATAGTTCCAGATTTTGAAGCATTTTGAATTTTAGATTAAGGAAGCTCAACCTATTGCCATTTCATTCACTTTGTTTTAAAATGGGATGTTAAGAATGTCACTGGTCTTCATAATTAAGATATGAACTGTAAAACCCAAATTAACTTTGCATAACAAGACAGAAAGTCTATTAAAAATCAGAATTAGGCCCAAATATTCTCATTAAGATGATTTACAGCAGTAGTGGGGAAACAAAGATAGTGAGATAGCCTAGCATGCTCCAGGCCCTGGCTTCAATTCACTGCAAAAAAGAAATAATAATTAATTAATTAAGGTCCTCCTACCTGAAACTGACCAAGAGCTGCCAGTTTGTAAGAAATATAGGGAACAGAAAAGTTATGTTCAGTGACACCATACAATGAGCAACACAGAATATGGAAAATTCCTTAGTACCTGACCCAGCTTCTTCAAATGTATTATGCACAGAAGAGAAAAATCTGTGCCTAAATCCAACAGAACATAAATGGCCCTCGTCTGAACAAAGCAACAAGCAACAAGCATGTGAAGGTTGAGGGAATTTGGGGCTCGATGGCACAGCAACTAGAGTCAACTTGACAAGCGGCATCTTGGTTGTTTCCCAAGCCCTCACCTTATAGACGAAAATATGAAATCATTTGTATTCTTTCTAAATACAAGGGAGGGAGGTAGACTGGGGATTTTTTTTTTTTTTTGAGAGAGAAATTTCAATATTTATTTTTCAGTTTTTGGCAGACACAACATCTTTGTTTGTATGTGGTGCTGAGGATCGAACCCAGGCCGCACGCATACCAGGCAAGCCCGCTACAGCTTGAGCCAAATCCCCAGCCCCATGGGATTTTGTGTATAAACCAGGTTGGCTGACCTCCAACTTCTACCTCTGGAGCAAAGGACTGCACTCATATTAAAAAAGTTTTAGTGGTAGAGTGCTTGCCTAGCACATGGCAGGCACTGGGTTCGATTCTCAGCACTACATAAAAATGAAAAACTGCTCACTTACAACTAAAAAATATTTTTAAAAAATTAAAAGCAGCAAATGGTGGCAAATTTCTTAACAGTCTAGGAAACTGGCACACGAAAAGCACAGTACAACAAACTAAGACACCCTCGTCTACAAAGCCACCTCTAAACACAAGCCTCATACTACATGTGGGCATATCTGCTCAACTGCCCATTTCCACATGGCCCCTCAACCCTTTCCATTTACAAGCAAGAAAAGGCACAAGAAGTAATTTGATAACGTAACTCAAAACTAATAGGACCTCTGTTGACTGCCATTATTTTCCTTGCCTTCCTTCCAAGCCTGTCTTGGAAACATTATTAGGAGGCAGCTGACATTCTTCAGAAGTACCAAGTTGTAGAGGCTGGGGCTGTAGCTCAGTGGTAGAGTGCTTGCCTAGTACATACACATCTAAGGCAGTGGGTTTGATCCTCAGCACCACATAAAAATTAAAGCTATTGTGTCCATCTACAACTTAAAAACAAAACCTATACATACATACATACACACAATTAACAAAGTACCAATAAAATCACATAAAATAGAAATATCACGATATCCAAAAATGTCTTCTAAGTTAGTTTTAACTTCAAGTTTGCATGAGTTCATGTTGGGTTTCTGGTCCTTATTTAAGTAACATACCAGAAACTTTTAAATTTTCTTTTTACCTTTCTAAATTCATGTCTACCACGTTTGGGGAAAACACCTTCTAATATAAACACAGCTTGGGCTCATTCATTCATCATCATTTGTCTTCAGTTTCATCACCCAGGAAAGCTCAGGGGCCTCACCTGAATCATATAACTCTCTCTGCCTAGATATAATCACAACATTACATGTCTTAAATCACATAAAATGTTCAACTCCAACGATTGGGTCTTATTAACTGTCATGTTAAAAGTTTTGATTTGTTCAATAGGGCATTTCACTTTAGAAATAATAAGTACTAAAAGACTAGCAAAAATAACCTTCTGGAAGCATTCAAGTGAAAACCAGCTTTTGAGTCTTGGAGCCATAATAATATTACTGAGCCATTCCCATTTGCTTTTCCTATATAAAGACTGTTTACAAACCACTTGCAATGCAAAGAATTACATTTTAATAACCCCAAACTACATGTACTGGAGGAAAGAACAAGTGTGTCAGAAAAAGTCAGTACAGCCACTTTACTACTAAAATTTTGCTTTTTAATAATTTATTTAAATAAGATATTTGAAGCAGTTTAGAAAAACAAGATTTGTATTTTATTTCCTTGTAAAAATCTTTACACATGCAGACAAACCAGTGTTAAGAAAGTATTCACCATCATTTAAACAAATAACCCACTTAAATAGAACGATGTCTGCAATTTTTATCTGTATAAAAATAAGATACATTTTTACAGAATTCACGCTCCAGTTTTTATAGCAATAAACAATACACAACTATTAATAAAGTACAATTGAACCTGACCATGGTTTTCAATTAGATACTGCTAGGGCATTTTAATGTGCAAAAAAATTTAACATAGTTCTTTTCAAAAGAAAATGTCCTCAGTGTTTCTAGAGACCTAGAGGGTTTAAGAAATCGAATCCTAATCAGTTTGCTTTTCATGTTTTGATTGAGTCCATCCGTCACGCTGCAGATAGGTAAAACCAGGAACCGATGCCGGCTCACAGAAGAGTCAGCGCCTGTGCCTGCTGTGTCCTGAGCGACTGCCACCATGGTGCTTCCCTTTATGGGACCTCTCAAAGGAGCGCGATCTTTCGCGCCTGTCCCTATGATGTCCCCTTTCATGCCTGTGTTTCTTGGCAGCATCTGAGTGATCCCGAGTCTTGCTCTGAGATCGAGAACGAGATTTTTTCCTTTTATGACCATGTCTATTTGAACTTTTTAAATCCTCTCTGGTATGCTTGGCTTTAAGGTGAGGAGAACCATGATTATGATGTCTTCGAGGGCTTTCACTATGACTGCGGGACCTGCTTCTTGATCTTGAGCTGTATGTTCCAGATCGACTCCGCCTATTATTATAACTTAAGACAATAAAAAATTGAGGTTTAGATTCAGTTTCTATAGAGAACAAACTGTATCAGTTGGTTGGTGCTTACTAACAGGCACCAAAAAATCAGCTGTAACATCAAGGATAAACCAGAATCTATGACTCCTAAGTCTCTCCACCCCTCACTTCTCTCCCACCTGAGTTCCTGGCAGAGATGGAGGCATACTGTCAACACTCTACGGAAAACTTGAGTAACTGGCATTTTACAGCATTCTGAGTTATGCTTTTTACAGACTATCTCCCACACGCTCAAAGAGCCAGAAGGAGCTAATAGTCTAATTCAAGATGACTAGGAAGGATTCATTAGTTTGACTAACTATCAGTTAATAATTATTAAGACATTAGCTCCTATAATCTTTTCCACCAATCACCAGAGAAAATAAAGTCTAATCCTAGCTGGGAGCGGTGGTGCACACCTGTAATCCCAGCGGCTCCGGAGGCTGAGACAGGAAGATCATTGAGTTCAAAGCCAGCCTCAGCAAAAAGCGAGGTGCTAAGCAACTCATCGAGATCCTGTCTCTAAATAAAATACAAAAAATAGGGCTGGGGATGTGGTTTAGTGGCCAAGTGTCCCTGAGTAAAATCCCTGGTTACCCACCCCTCACCCCAGAAAAGTCTAATCCTAGCCTAACTTTGAAAAATCTGTCTTCAGTATTTTAAAGTGATAACCTCTAAAGGCTCCAAATAAGATGCCTTCCTGAGGCATCATGTACTTACTGTCTTCTTGGAGTATGGGATCTAGAACGTGACCGTGTTCTTGACCTTGATCGACTAGCACTTCTGCTATTTCTACTTCTCTTGCTATCTTTTCTTACACTTCAAAAAAAAAAAAAAAAAAAAAACATTTTAGTTACATACTGAGCATGTTAGAAAGCAAGAATATGATCCCTCAAACCATTTTCCAATTCAAGCACTCACCCATTATAAGGGCTTTTGGATGCCTGCTGTCTATCCTCAGGTTCCTTTTTGACAGTCTTCACACTAATGGAAATGGGTGACTTCTCTTCAGCTTTCACTTCTCTTGGTGATGCTTTGACGACATAATAAGGACACATTAACTACTGGATTTAACAGGGCCAAAGTTGTTTCAAAATGTAAACACTATGCTTCTAAGTATCACCTTTATCAGATTTTTTCAGGGAAATAGAAACAGCTTAATATTTGTTTCTAGGCAACTGTTAAATGGTGACATTTTGCAACAATGATGCCACAACTTAATTTTAATCCTGAATGTGTCTTACATGGTTTAGAGGCTGGAGAAAATCCACCAAGGGTTGAAAGGGCTGGAGTTCCATCAGGATTCAATCCCTTTGCTTTTAATTTGGCTTCCTGCAAGGCTACTTTCCTTTTTTCTACTTCTTTTTCTAACAATTCATAATTAGGCTGTTGGAGAAAAAAATGAAGTTAGTATTTCCCCTTTATAGTCATTTAGCTTCTTGACAGACAAAATTAGCACCAACTTGAGTAGAGAGGGTCACCTTTTTTCTGGTGTAAAGCCTAAGCGTCTCTATGCAGATCTCCTGGATCTCCTCTTCTGTAGTACCAAAAAGAAGAAACCAATGGGGGCGAGTTGGCAATGGAATCTAAGCCAGAAAGAGAGAATGCTTCAAACTTTTGCTGGTGTTCACTGGAATCACTGTAACTTGAGATTTATCACATGGAACAAAACAGATTGTGTACACCTACCTGAAGTGCTCTAGCTGCAAGGTAGATGCAAGCACATGCTATAGTCTCTGGTTGAAAGCGAACAAAAACATTGGTTCGAAGACTGTCATTCATATAATTCCTGAAAAATATTTCAACTATAAGCTTTGTATATAAACAAACCAGTTCTTCTGAAGCTTACATTATATTGGAGACTCAATCTAATTCATTCTTTTTTCTTCTCTCATACATTTACATTCTTATATTCTAGCATATAACAATTCTTAGCTCAAAGAATCAGAAGTAGAATACCAGGACCTTTCTTCAGTTGTCCTATATAAAACCAAAGACCTTTTAAATAAATTCATCTTACTATCCCTTACAGAACTTACCCCTAAATTCTTTTAATGTATTTCTACAAAAAGCAATGCTCTAAAAGTTAATTTTGACATGATTAATTTCAGAAACAATAAACCACTCCAATAATACTTCAAGCCATTAATTGTTGACCATCTCTCCTTTATCCACAATGAAAAGCAGTGTCAACCAAGTTCTTTCAGAAACTCAAAATGCTGTGACAGGGGTAAAAAGGCATTTTTTAGTAAGAACTCATCAAGTTACACTTAAAATTAAGAAAACTAAGCTACTTCAACAAACCTAGGTAGAAAATGAAGAGCAGTAAGTATACATAATGGCCTTGTTTACATACTTTTTTTGGGAACTAAGCATATAAATAAAAGCAATAAACTAATTAAATAAACAGCTGAAATTTCTAGTAAACCTTCCCCCACAATATTCCTAAACTAACAAAGAAATCTTACAAATTCTTTAAAAGCTTAAACTAAAATTAAATGGATTATTTCTTTTAAAAATCCTGTCATCCATTTAAAACTTTTAAAATTTTATAGAATACATTAAAAATCATGCATTTCATAAAAGCAATGAGACTTTTCTTCTATTATTAATATTTACTGAGTCCAAAAGATGCATGGCAGTCAAAAAGACATCTCAGTAGAAAAATCCAGAATATAAAACTTAATTCTTGAATATCAACAATCTTAAGAGAATTGTGACTGAACCACAATCTCCTTGCTTGACCTTAGCCAGCTTCCAAGTCTTATATCTGTATCTCAAAGGTCCAAGTTCAAAAGCATTTAAGTCATATTAGCTTTTCTTTTAAAAATGAAGTACTTCTTTTTAATATTACTGTCTGCAAAAGCTCAGCAGCTGTAAATTAACCCAACATGGGCACTGATGTCCATTTAAAGCTACTCATTGTAGCCTCCTTTGGCAGAATTCATGCTATACACACTATAAGTAGAGATTTACTCATACTCCTAATTTAAAAAACCATTTAATTCATAGTGGCTGGACAACAAAATCTATCAAAAATGAACTATTCATTTTGATAGTTACAGGTATACATTAAATACATAGGCATGTTGAATAGTTACTTCTAGAAACAAATATACAAATCCTTTTGACACCCCGACAGAACTAGAAGATGCTGCCAGATGGATATGGACCACTTCAGTGAATCTCGGATGAGAGCTTGCACTGGATTGGCTGGAGAGCAGGGCAGCCAATCAGGCCATCCTGAGGTCATGGGCTGAAGTGCAGAGGGCAGAGTTCTATGACTTACCATCATGGACTACCCTTTAATTAAAGAGTAGAAAAAAGAACAAAGTTAAATTGAGTTCTCCATTTAAAGTAATTAGTCAAGCCAAGAAAACAGGAAGCAGAAATAAGCATTATTTACCTTTTGGTCATAAAACAAAAAAAGAAAAAGCCCCAAAACAAACTCATCTCATTTTGGAAAGGGAAAATGAAACTTACTTTATTTCTGCTTCTGTTTTCCTGGCTAGGAAAGAAATGTAATAAAGGAACTTACCAGGCAGTTTGAACCAGGGTTTGATTACGTTCACATTCTAAGACTTGTAAATACATAACAATGATCTAAAGGACAAGGGAGAAAAAATTCAATTTAGCATACTGACAATCCTTGCAGAGTATAGAATTCTATTTCAAAGTAACTGCAAATATCAGATACAAGTACTAATTTCTCTAAATTGCAGAAAATATAGACCAATCTAAAATGCACCTGAGATTCAATGAGTTATTAGATTAGAAATATGTTCCAAAGTTGGAGAAAAATGATGGTTAAAAATTTAACAAGAATACTTCACGTATATTGGGGGTGGGGAATACTACGAATTAAACTCAGGGAAACTCAACCACTGAGCCAATTCCCCAGCCCTTTTTTGTATTTTATTTAGAGAGTTTCTGAGTTGCTTAGCGCCTCGCCATTGTTGAGGTCGCTTAAACTCGAGATCCTCCTGCCTCAGTCTCCCAAGCTTCTGAGAATATAGACATACGCCACCATGCCCAGCCAAGAATACTTTATATTTTTAACAAACACTTCACTTTGTAACGGGCACTGTTTAAACTATTTCATCTTATCTCTCAAGGTACATGTTAAAAAAAAAAATGGAACACTGTTTACATGTCAAGTGTTTCCAGATCCCTATTACCTTCACTCCATTTTACAATCTTAAAAAAGGAGAAAATGAGATCTCTTTTAATGGGCCCAGTTAACAGTAGAGCCAAGCTAAGTTGCTGTCTCAGAAATGTCCTGACCAAGCACCCACTCCTGCAACCACTGTGCCTATATAAATGAGAAAGCCGAGATGATGAGAGAAACTAATGAACTTCTAATAATGGTAACAATGAGCAAACAATACACTTTGAACACTTTATTCCTTAGGACTCCTCCCCTGGTATTGAGACCTTGCACATGCCAGGCCAAGTGCTCCACCACTGAGCTATCCCTCAAAAATCCACCCAGCTCTCATAAATAATATATTTTTGTTTTGTTTTTGAGATAGTTGCTCAGGCTGGCCTGAAACTTATGGTCTTCCTGCCTCAGCCTCCCAAGTTGCTGGTATTATAGGCATGGACCATTGCACAATAAATAATAAACCACTCCAAGCACTTCTGCAGGAACCATTATTCATTCCTAAGAATAAGGTACACATCACCACCTATTTTTAAGGTGGGAAAACAGACTTAACCATAGGTTATCAATGTTATCTATAAGAGTGGAGATTTGAACCTATGTCTTCACTCCCATTTTACTATAAATCTCAACATCCAAAAGAATGTTTTTAAAACCAAATTTAACTCTCAAATATATAACAAACCCAAGGTAAATTAAAAATTTTACAAAAAGCCCTAATACTTACGAAAACAGAATTTCTATATTCTACCACTCACCTTATGGGGATGCTTGACATGAACACAAAATCCCAACTCCTTTAGCACCCTCCTTTCTGCTTTGATAACTTGATTTTTGGTGTTAATGTAGTTCTGATCAAGGATCAGGGGGCTTGGAGTCCTATAGTTTGTAAGAAATAAAATCAAAACTGTTTTGCACATCCAAAAAATTTTATTTGTGGCATCTCCGTTTTCCCTTCCAACCAACTATTGGCAACAGAAACCAGCTTTTTAAACTCCTGCAAACAAGTTAAAAGCATTAATCTTGTGCTGTCCAAGTTATACTAATTAAATACATAGATCTAGACTTGAGTTCCTAAAGGAACAAACTCAACTCCAACAAAACAGAGAAGACATCACTTCAATACTCTCAAATTTATCCTCATCAATTTTTTTCATCTTAGATTTAACTTCACATCATGATCATCACAAACCTCATTAGCCTCCAGAGACTTCCCAATGACAAAACTAATGTACTCTTGAAGATTTATAGCGCATGAAAAAGTCCTCATAAAAACAGTGCTTTTAAAATTCATTTGAATTCAACTCTTAGCTAGTTAATCACCAAAATAAAAACTACTGAAAAACCAGTCAATAGCTAATTCTGATTTCCCTTAGGGAACAATTTATTTAAACCAATTGTTTCAAGAACATATCTCTACTAACCAACCAAAAAAACAAAAAACCTACGAACACTAAGGATTTCTCAATTTCCAAAGAAATATACCAAATCTTAAAAACAGGTTCAAAATTCAAAAAGTAATCTGAGATCTAGCCCTAAATCTGGCTATACATGTCTATGGAATGCAGAAGAGAACAAAGGGCATAGTGAGGTTACCAGAACACATTCAAGGTCTGTGCCAGACTAAATTTTGATAACTTCAAAAAATCTGTATGACACAAAAGGTTATCTATGTTGATGGTTCAATGTTTTAAAAATAACTAACAAAACGATGCTGTCCCAAATGTTTTATTTTTTATATAGGGGAAAACAATACCCCACCTCTTTTCTCCCAGTATCGAACATGATAATATCTTATGTCTCATAATTAGGTACCCGGGAATTGAACCCAGGGGCGCTTAATCACTGAGCCACATCCCCAGTCTTTTTAATACTATTTCTATATTTTAATCTTTTATTTAGAGACAGGGTCTCACTAAGTTGCTTAGTGGCTGAGGCTGGCTTTGAATTCCTGATCCTCCTGAGCCTCTGGGATTACAGGTATGCACCACCCGGCCCAGCATGTCTTACAATTTTAACTGGCAATTTGGTTAAGGAAACATTAAGGAATGAAACTTTCCATTTTTTAAAAGTATATGGAATTTACTATGTCCTTTAATACTTTTGTAGTTCTGACCAACAAAAAGGACATTTTAATAAGACAACATAAGTGAATGGGTAAAACATGCCTTTATTTCCCCTCTCACCCAATTCATTTTCAGTCAAAAGATAAAAGAGTTTTTCTATGCATCTATTTTTAAGACTGTCACTCTGAGTATTCATCTCAATGTACACCCAACACGTAAAAACTGACCTCATGAACTACATTAACTAACTCCCTCTGCCGATGTTATCAGTTTTAAAAAAAAGTAAAAATAATACTTTTCCTCACCTGACATAGTCTAAAACTGAAATGCTTGACTTCTTCTAATTATTCTACATACTTTTTATTGAATTACATTAAACAAAAATTGGCAGAGCTGACAAGATGAAAAAGCAAAATTGGTTATTATCTAATGCTGAAAAATGTCTGTCACTAAGTTCAACGGCCATTACAGCTACAAAAGAGTGAGGAATAAGGCCAACAATCTTGGGGATGACTTCTCTCTTAATATCAGCATCATGACAAAGCCATTTTATTAGAGCAATAGGCTACAAATTTCTATTTGAAAGGGGGGGGGGGGGAATCAAACAATGCCAAAGAGAGCTACCAACATTTATATTGAACACATTCCCAAGACCTTTAGATTATTTTTCAGGTTTTATCATTAGTTTAGAAAATCAAATCCACTTGACTTTTTAATTAATGACTGGTTATCTGATGACTGTTAACTGGCATTAGGAGATAGAAAACCTCCAGTGTTAACATAATACACAAATTAATTATTAACTCCCTGCAATTCAGATTGCAAACCATACCATTAAAATCCCTACAAAAATATAATTTCATGAAGGCAAAGTTTTCAGTTTTATCCATTTATGTTGACCCAATTTATCTATACCTCTTACCAAAAAAAAAAAAAACCCTGCTTTAAGAGATGCCTTCAAATGATGATAGAACTTATTTGTTCTTGCAGTTAAATAGCTAAACACGTATTTGAATTATAGCTATCAACCTGACCTCAGAGCTATTCCATCTAAATTGTCATAATTGTTACTTTCCTTCCATTTTTTCCCTGTCAAAATCTTAACTTCAAAATAGAGTGAAGAAACAAACCTACTGTTTCACTAAAATTCAAATATACACTCTATTTCTTTTAGTCCTATTACTGACATTTTAAAGTTATTTTTGTAGACATATGGTTTTATTTCATAAATCAGGCTGGAAAAACAAAATTTACAACTACTTTTTGAGATTTTTTCAGAAACAGAAAAATATATCTCATTCATAAACCAACAGTAAGCAAGCCCTTTTTATCCAACTAGAAATCAATTGTTCTTTTTGTAGCAACATAGTAATCTTGAACTGAAGTCTACTAGAATTTCTTCCCCAAAGAGGTAAAACCTTCTCTGTCGATAGTCTTGAAGAGGCGGCATTTAAAAAAATCTCTTCAGAGATAAAAATTAAGTCTTTGTCTATCCAGAGTAATTAGAAATAATTTTTATCATCAACACACAAACTATTGCACTCTACCCTTTTCTGCTTTAAGTTTTTGTCAGATCTTTCTGATTAACTCAAATGAGAGTAATTTTCAGATTTTAGAAAGCCCTGTCTTTTTGGTCATTAGAAGTTTATCTGACAAGCTACTTTCTTGGGAGTAATTAAACTGAAATACAACTCAACAACAAAAACTCTGATGAGTGGTATAGGAGGGGAAGACTGCTATTCATACATAGGAATTTGTACTGCCTATTTCAAAAAAGCAACATTCTACAGAGGTGTTAAACTGCAGGTGGTTACTGGACGACATGACAATAACACCTAAGAACTTCTAACTTTATAGACATTAAAATATCACAATAGTCACCAATAAGAATGGTTCAACCAGTCTTTGAAAATTTGTCTTACACAAACCTTAGAGTATGAATATTGGCTCCTGAAAAACAGCCCCCCCAAACCTTAATTTACTAAGACCATAATACATAATAAATACAACTACTTAAGTAAAAAAGCAATCGTCCCTTTAAATTCAGCCATTTATTCTGAACTTTACAAGATAATTTTCACAAAATAAAAAACTTCAAGGGAATAGGCCAAATGACTCAGGTTAAGAACTAGGCATCAATCTTTTTAAAAAAAATTGCCTCTAGTGATTTTACCGTGTATCCAAGAGTAAAAATCAATGACCTAGAAGCTACATGAACAATGTAGTAACCCAGTAATTTTGAATGTCACAAAAAAATTTTAAATATGCACAAACTAATCTAAAACAAATATATAAGGACAAACTGACACCCTGTAGCTTACCTAAATGTAATATTGACAGTACTTTCAAATGACAACCTATCAACCTATGCAAAAGAAAAACAAAAAGCAAAACTAAACTACAGTTGTAATAATAACTTGGACAGCAAAGACAAAAGCTTATAACAAGAAACAGGAGTTTTTCTAAATGGTTCACCAGTGGCCAACCTGTTAGTCCCCGATTCCAGTGACCTATTCTCAGAGCACTGGCTTCTCCTTGGGGATTTTCGATACTTCACTCACTGTTGCCATGACGACAGCTTCATCTCTATGTACCACTCCACATCACCCAGGCTTTGGTAAATGTAGCTGGTCGCTGTATAGTCGGTTGCAAGGGAAAAAAGAGTTGAAGTTAATAACATATACAAGTTACGTGTTTGAGTAAACTTGTAATATGCATAGAAACACTTTACATCTGTTTTTTAAAAAAAGGGCTTCCATGCAATTAACTCCTTTTAAATTTCATGCTATAATCAGACTTCTAAGATTGAAACAAAATGTTTTTCTCATATTGGCCAAAAAAACAGTTACATCAGACACAACAATCAGAAAGGATAATTTTAAATTCCAAGATTTTTATAGTAAAAAGATTCTGTTCTGACATCAAGGAAGACTTCACAGGAAAACTTCAAAAAAGATAATCATATGTGATCATGTAACAGTTGGCTCAAGGATTCAAATACTACCAGAAAACTACTTCCTTTAAGAAAACAGAATCCTCTAACAATGAATATTAGTAATTTTGTTTACAACACTCTGAAGAAATCGGCCACATCTTAAAACGCAGATTTACTTTCAGACCACAGTAAATACCAATTTGAAATCCTCTTATTTCCCAAAGATTCCTCACCATGGAACTAAAGTTATTTTAAAATTAAATAAAAACGACTCCAATCTTGGACACAGGATGATTGAGAAAAGATTGGGAAGAAAAAGCATGTAAGAAAACTAAAAATGCTAGGAAAATATCTGGATAGCAATGTTTTGGATTTTCTGACTAGGCTAATCGTTTTAAAAGTTACTTTAATCCATGCTTGTCTAGATAATTCCATTACTGCCTACTAGATTCTGCCAAAAGGAACTACTTATATAGGATACTATTTTGGCACTAACCAACACCCAATCCCCAAAACAACTTATAATCCTTTTTAACCACCTTCCTTTCAAACTTAGCACAGCACCACAATTCCTTAAAAGTGAACACAAAAGCTAACCTACACCATGAATAGTCTTCTGCTAGAAGTCACCTACAGATACAGGAAGCCCTACAACTAGCTCTTTTTGGTACTGCCTCAAGAACACATAGATCCACATAAGTTATCAGGTTATCACAACACCTAAAGATACTGTTTCAGTCTCTCAGTATTTTCTTACAAGAGCAAATAAAAGGGCCATATCTAAATGCAACTCAATCTTTTGAGTTATTTTTCTAACCCACTCACTGAGACTGTAGCTGACCAAAACAAAATACCTGTTTAATCCCTTTGACTTCAAACTTCAAACTTTATCATCCTGCAGTCCTTTCAGATCCGGTATTATGCGATATATCGTAGTTCAATGTTGAGAAGTACTCTAACAAAAGCCAACCTCAATTGATAAAAAATTAACTGGGACTTCAGTAGAATAACAATCTACACAGAACTTAGCCACAATATTAACTTGACTACAGTGTTTAAAACATCCAGCCTTCAGTCTTCCAGAGGAGGTAGGGGAGAAAACTTACAGAATACACTCACACTTGAGCCAAACGTATTCCCTTTCTTGTTTAATCTTAAGCCAAGGACTGGCTTCACAGCACTGTTAGGATTGTCCACAAATGCAACTGCCTCTACAAACTTTAGATAGCTGGTTAATTGAGTTTTTCTTCAACATACTTTAATATCAATGTTCCTACATTGATTTTAAAACCTAAATTAAGTTTTCCTTTGATCCGGACTGAGGAAAAAGATGTTCTGATTTGACGATTGGTGTACAGTTCAGCGATAACAAGAGATATTAAGTTCAATAATGCCAATCTTACCTTTTTCCTCTTAACTGGCGGAGATGGTGGAATACATTAATCACATCTCTTATTCTTCGGGGCGCTTCTTCGATCTTCGAAGCGAGATTAATACAGGCCATGGCAACAATCTGAAAAACCACCAACAAACGGGACCAATTTTAGCCTCCTGAGTTACAAAGTAGTGTTAAGAAAAGCCACCTCCCTCCGAATCCGGGGAATTTACTTATACCCAGACCTCCAGCACCAGCGGGACCACCGGGCCAAGGCCTCTCCCGCGGGCGCGCACGTGGGCCGGGCCGCTTCCGGGCGGCCGGCGCCGCGGGGTACAAAGGCCCGCCCTGCCCTACTCGCCCGCCCGCCCCCGCTTCCGGCCCGAGCCCGCCGCGCCCGCCCCCGCGGCGCTCACCTCGAAGCTATGCTTGACGAAGGACTTGGAGTAGAAGAAACGGTGAAACAGCACCTGCCCGGTCGCCATCGCCACCTGCAGACAGAGGATCGCGGTCAGGCGGCGCCGCCATCTTAGGCCTCCCGCCCGCCCGTCCGCGGCCCAGCCGGCCACTCACCTGCGGCAGGCGCAGAAGGATGCCGGCGGCCTGGATGAGCTCGCAGCCCAGGATGCGCAGGTCCGTCTCGCTGGGCAGGTCCAGCCCGTCCTGCATGGACGGCGTGGGCGACAGCCTCTCCTCCGGGATCAGCGAGTGGTCGATGGTGAGCGACACCTCCGAGTACAGCCGGTCGCCGATCAGGATGCCGCCCGTCGCCGCCGTGGTGGCGGCCGTCGCGCCGGAGCCGGGGCCGCCCGCGCCGGGGGCGGCCGAGGTGGCGGCGGCGGCGGCCGCGGTAGGGTGAGGCCCGGACGCCATGGTCGCAGCGAGCTGCACGCACGCCCGACGCAGCCGCGGCCCGGCGAGACTAACAGCGCCCGGCGCGGCGCTCCGTGACGCCGGCCGCCTTACGCCGCGTACGCGTCCGCCTGACGTCAGCACGCCGGCGTCAGTTAGTCCCTGCGCCCCGCCCCGCGAGCTGTGGCCAGCGGCGTGCCGCCTTCCGCTAGGACTAGCAGCAGGGCGCCGGCGAGTGCAGCTTTGGGCCCCTGGGGCGGGTAGGAACGAGATGGGAACGTTCTCCAGCGGGAGGAAAGGCGGCCGCACCGCCGCGCACCGCCGGGACTGGAAGGAAGGGAGAACTCGGCTTACTCCGTCTTTATGCCCCGCGCTTGGTCTCGGGATGGGAAGCCGCTTTGTTAGGCCGTCGGGCTATTTTGTTTTCCAGGCAGATTTTGGAAAAGCGTATTGAAACTTGGATCTGTGAGCAAAAGAATGGGTGCATTTTAATGTTTTTCAGTGAAGTCACTAAATAAAACGTGCTCAAAAACCCTACTTTAAAAACTTGTTCTGAACCTGTACGTTAAGACTCGCGGAGGTGGTGGTCGTGGACCCGGGGTGGTTCCCCCAGCAGTTCATTTTGCCCACCCTCTAGAGAGTGCAGGGAGAGTTGGTTAAACCATTAAACTTCCCCTATGTCACTTCCTGAACCTTTCTGACTTACAGTCAGGGAAGTTTGGTGTGGCTGTGATACTGGGGATTGAACCCAAAGGCGCTCTACCTCTGAGCTGTATATATCCCCAGCCCTTTTAAATGATAAGACAGGGTCTCAGTTGCCTCCTGAGTTGCTAGGATTACAGGTGTACACCACCATATCTGGCTGCATATTCTTTTACAACAGAGGCCCTTTGATAGACCTGTATTCATCCATGTCTAAAAAAATCTAATGATGTTATATTTTTACTGTTTTAAGATAGGTAAGCTAAAGACACAAATAGAATTATTATCAGTGACTTCCTTTGGGTGCTAAAATATATTCCTGATGCTTAAATTGTTCTCATTCTGTTAGACCCTGCAGCCTCCCTTGGGAATTTGCTTTTCATTATTTAAACTTCAGATTATTAAATCCTAAACTCAATGTTGGCATAATTCCTTCAGTTTCATTAGCAATCAGTTATTCGCCAATTGACCACAGGAATTTAATAACACAGTATGAAAATTTAGCTTAAGAGCAAGTAAAAACTGTGCAGGTGGCACATGCCTGTAATCCCAGCCGCTTGGGAGGTTGAGGCAGACGAATGGTGAGTTCAAAGCCAGCCTCAGCAACTTAGTGAGGCCCTAAGCAACTCAGCAAGATCTTGTCGCTAAATAAAACACACACACACACATATATATTTTTAAAGAGCAAATGAAGTAAAAGTCCCCAAATAGAAGCAACACTCCTCTCTATTTCTCTTCCCATCTGGGAAGAGAACGTGGATTTCCCCAGAACGTGATTGTAGACGGCTGGTGTGAGTTCGGGAATAAAGAGTTGCTGTTTGAATCTACAAGCTGTGTGGTGGCTCGTGATTGTGTGCCCAGCCAGACTGCGGCATTTGTGCCCAGCCAGACTGTGGCATTTGGCGGCCCGTGCGGGGAACTTCTGAAGCTTAGAGGTAAGTGAAATTTCTCACCCTTGAGGAAGAGAGAAAGAATGGGTGAACATTTCAAAAAACAATGTGTTATTGTTTTGATTTATTTTGTTTTTATTTCAAGTTGCCTGTTCCTAGAACTTTCTCAGGCAAACTGGGGAAAATGGTTGGCTCAAAGTTTGAAGTTGTTCACCCCCGAGGAAGAGAAATTGTTAGAGGAAAGAGGCACCCCAGTAAGACCAAGAACAGTTAGGACATATGTTGATACAATACAAAAATGTAGCACATGGCTTTTTAAAGACGAGTTATTAAGTATATCAATGGGACCACCATGGTATCCTGTAGAAGGATTTTTCTTCAATAAGAAAGAGATGGCTAGTTCTGTTTGCTACACTTGTCTAAGATCTTGGTTTCTACAAAGTTCTGATTAATTTACAAAGCTAAAATGTTGAAACATCAACCACTCTTTACTTATTAAGTTACATAAGGTAATATATTTAAGCATGTGTGTTTTCATAAATTGGTGAATGGAAAAAAGGTTTAATATTGCTTTGGTCTGTGTCTTTGCTAAAACAAGGTTACTAAGAGTTAAGATTCTATCATGTGTAATTTATATACAAAGAGTATAAGAAGTTTCAGTTGGGTTTCAATTATAGTATTATAGTATCATAAAAAAAACATGAAAGTCTTTCATCTTATTAAAGTGGAGTAATTTGTCTAAATCAGAAATTTTATAAGAGTTGTTTCAGAATGTAAATTTATATAAAGGGTTAACGGTTAAAAAGAGATAGAAAAAGATTCAAGATGTGGAAATATATTTTAATATATAAGGTTAAAGGAAAAAAATGTTTTTAGATGAGATAATCTCTGTGTGGTAAAGTAAAAAGTTGTAAAATGCCATTTAAAAAATTTTTGAGGAAACTAGACTTACTTTAAAAGCTTGAGAAAAGAAGAAATAAAAAAAGGTATTTGTACATGGCAGATTGAGACAAAGTTTCTCAATGGAGTTAAAAAAAAAAGCCTTTGGTTGAAGGGCAGCCATGTAAACTAACATTAAAGAGATTTAAACAGAATCTAAGCCTCGTTTAAAAGAGTGAAGCTGTAGGTGGTGAAAAAGTATATTTAAAAGTACAGTATAGATGATAATTGGAAGGCTTTAAAAGGTTAAATTGAAGGTGGTCGAGATACCTTCATGGCGGAAAAAAGATTGCTTTATTGCATCATTCGAAGTCTAGTTAATCTTAAAGGCATTACTTAAAAAAAATGGGAAGATAATAGGATAAAAGATATTTAGATAAAGAAGATTAAAAATTTAAAGTGAAAAACTTTAAAAACAGAAATACAGAAAGGTAAAAAAAAGAGAGAAGATGTAGAAAGATAAAAAAGATATAGGAAGATTAAAAAGATGTAGAAAGGCAAGAATTTTAAACCCACAAAATAGGAAACAAAAAAACTAAGGAAAAAAAGCAACTAAGGGTGAATGTACAAACCTTAGGGGGAAAAAAAAACTGGAAGATAGAAATAAGATAAAAAATGGTTGAAAATGTCAAGTAAGGTATTTCAGATAGAAAAATGCAAAAAGCTAGACAACTATTAGATACAGACATATACTTATTAAAGCAAAAAGAGGGAATTTGAAAGGGGTATATATCCCCCAAAGATAAACTTAAAATAACGCTTTTTACTCTAAACTTTTTAAATTTGGATTCATCAGGACTTAGTGCTGCGGAAAGACATATGTATCCAAAAAATATACATAAGCCTAAGGTACTTTGGAAAGATATTCTAACAGGACAATGGAAAGGTCCTGACCCAGTGATTGTCTGGAGTCGGGGTTTTGTTTGTGTGTTTCCACAGGGAGAACAGCAGCCGATTTGGATTCCAGAGAGATTAACTAAAACAGTTTCTACAGATCGAAAAGAAGATGATTTGACTCAAATCCATAACAGCTGATATCCAGAACTCCAGCTTGGCCATTCTTACATCTGCGACAGTGATTAACCAGTGATGCAATTTTTATTTCCTTGCCAGCGCACCCCATGTTAATTGTGGTAGTGCTGGCATATCTTTGCTGATGGTGTCACCAGTGATGCAATTTTTCCCAAGGAGCCGTCAATTGGCTTGGTGTCATGGCATTTCTGTATCCTCCTCCCTTCTGCTAGTGATGGTCTAAAATTTGGGGACCAATGGCTTATGCTGGACCGGTAGTCAGTGACGGGTATGATCCAATTGCAATGGTATCAACCTAAGACAGGAGGCTGACGCCTAAAGGTCAGTTTTCCGATGACGGGTAAGAACCATATGTTGAATTGGACAACCTACCAGGCACGGTCCATAAGCCACATTAACCTCACTCCCCCACTGGCACCAAGGCCAAATTTGGGGGCCAACAGAGGTGAGGCAAAGAACCTCACCCCCCCACTGGTGCATAGACCTATCCACAAGTATGGCTGTATGCTGGACCGGTAGTCAGTGACGGGTATGATTCAATTGCAGTGGTATCAACCTAAGACAGGAGGCTGACGCCTAAAGGTCAGTTTTCCGATGACGGGTAAGAACCATATGTTGAATTGGACAACCTACCAGGCACGGTCCTTAAGCCACATTGCTTGTTGTTTAATTAATCAGAAGGGGGGAGATGCTGGGAGCCATTAGCCAAGTAGGTATGACAATTTCCTTGCCAGCGTACCCCATGTTGCTGACATGTTGCAGTGACATTGAATGTTAAGTGACCTTGCTCAAGGACCAAGGCAGATTAGGGTGTTCCCGGTTTTAAGATAATCGTGTTTAGGGCGTTCCCAGTTTAGGTTCCAGGTTTAAGGTTTAAGATTATTTCTGCTGGGAATAGGGCGTATCCTGCTGCCTGAGTTCCCCTTGAGTTCTCACGGGATTCAGACAGTATATTTTGGAGATAGAAGCCCAGTGGAGGTGAATTTGGGAGAGAAGGTGGATTTGGGCAGAGAACGTGGATTTCCCCAGAACGTGATTGTAGACGGCTGGTGTGAGTTCGGGAATAAAGAGTTGCTGTTTGAATCTACAAGCTGTGTGGTGGCTCGTGATTGTGTGTCCAGCCAGACTGCGGCATTTGTGCCCAGCCAGACTGCGGCACCCATCCTCCTGCCCTTTCTTTGTGGGGAGGGGGACATACTGGATTTTACAGTGCCTGGATTCTCATGCATGATGGGCGAGTACTATCACTGAGCTACAACACCAGCGTTTTAAAATTTTTATTTTGAGATAGGTCTCCCTAAGTTACCTGTACTGATCTAGAACTTGGGATCCTTCTGCCTCAGCCTTGCAAACAGCTGGATTACAAGTGTACAGCACTGCACCTGCTAGAACTACACTCCTAACAGAGGGAATGGTTCATACAAAGGCAAATGTTAAGGTGACTATTAAGTGCATAATGCAGGCAAGAAGGAT